AAGACTACTTTATTGAAAATGTGAATCACTGGAAAAATTTTATATACATAAGTAAACTGATAAGATACATTTACTGCAATGTAAATGTAAAATTAGAAAGCATACAAGAACATTTATAAAATTTAATAACATAAATATCCAATATTATGTTGTACATCACCAAATGCTTTATTTCTTAAAGAACAGCAGTGGCTTATCAGAAAAATGTGTACAGTTGATTCTTTTTTTGAAAATGATTCCTAAATCAATTTGTGGAAAGGTTTTACAAAAAGTTAGTAAATTTATTTTCACACGTACATACATATATATATTTACGTATATATAAGATATCATAATTGTTTATTTGTTTTGGAACATTAAATTTTGTTTGACATTGTTAACTTTATCTAAAACATTTTAAACAATATCATCTATCATACTCTTTAGTAAACAATTGTTATTCAAAAACATTTTAATATTATTAGCATACATAGGTTTGATATATTAATATTTTTCACCAATGTTAACTGAAATAAATTTGAAATACAAATATTACAACTAAAATTTTGGGAATTGTGTGTTAATAATAATTAGTATTTAACATATATTAGATCTAAGATGTATAAATGAAATAATATGTTTATACGACCAAGTCCATCAATAAATGATTACTTAAAATAGCACTGCTATATTAAAGGATTTTCTTTCCCCTTTAATACACGCATGTTTATTAAGTAATAGAGTAAAAAAGGATAAGGCAATGACTATTTTATTCTGTGTGGTGACCAGTAAAATAATTAATATTTGGTCACTGTGATGGGCAGTGGATTTTCCTTTGTGGAAAGGCTATATTTGTTAATACAATATTTCTGATAAATTTACCATTTGACTATTTCACAAGAACGTATGATATGCCTTTGTATTGAAACTTACCAACCCTCATCTGTCAAGCTATACATACTAATGTTTATTATAATTCTGAACTGACTATGAGTTTTCAAAGCCTTTATTGAATCAACCTGACTTAAAGGTGATTTTCAAGCTAAGAATAACAAAATAATTCTATTCATCTTACAGTTTTTATATTTAATTTCCATAACCTCTAGAACCTCCTAAAATGAATGTGAAAATTTTTTTCACATTTCTTTCCTTTCTATTGCTATGATTTTATTGCTGCAATTAATCCCCACATCAAAAGCAATAAGTCACAGTAGGAGCCAATTAGCTGTTTCACACAGAATTAAAATGTGATTGCTATGTGTAAAGTTTCACAAATGCTTAAACTGTGCAATCTTAGGTGAGTTGGTTTTACTGAAGTTTTATCAGACTAAGTTAAAAAGTTTAATTTTTACATTTTAGGTATTTTTTGTTAAAAAAATACAAAATAAAATATATAGATAAAAACAAGAATTTGTAGAATGTAATGCATACTCAAACTTTCTTGCACTCAAAAAGTTTAGACATTCTTCCATAAGCCTTGTTGAATCTCACAAATTTGGTTGTCCAAAAAAAAATTATGCAACTTATAAATATGCACTTTAAAACATAGAAATTATATCAGTCACTAGAATAGAATGCTTTAAAACTACCATTACATACTTGGCTTTGTAAGTAAACTATAAAATTCCTTTACTATTAAGAGCACAAAAGTATAATCACTACAAACCAAGTAATTCTGCTGACTAATGGCTTATGGCAAGAAAACTAAGCACAAACGTCTAATATTTATATAGAGATGAATTTGCTCTTTTCATTGGTTATAAATATGTCCAATCAACAATGTAATGTCGGTCATCAAACAATCTCAAAAGTCAAAGAGAGGGATGAGGGAGCTATTCTGGTGGTGTGACAAATTTAATGAAATCTCAGAAAATCAAGAGAATAAAAGATTAACATTTTAGAATCATGCCCGTAATTATGTGTAGTTTGTGACTGTAATTGTATTAAGTAATTATTTAACTCAACCCTAGGTAGTATAAGAGCTTATGTACCCAGGTACAATAACATGTTTGAGTAAAAGGCATTTTAGAGAAAGATTATTACAGTCTGTACTACTGTCTTCCCTAAAAACAGTGGCTATCTTTACAAACAAGCTGTATATTCTAAACACTTAGCAGCGACATGGTTAATAACTTAAGATTTCATAACTCCATAAAAAATAAAGGGGTTAGGGGGGATTTTTTTATTTTTCTTGATTGTGAGCTTGCAAGTACAGCCTTGAAAGACTAAATGGACCTCTGTTTTCCATATATTCTTTTTAAATTAAAATCTTTCAGAAATGTGTAGGGAAAGTACTGATGATTAGAAAGTTGTCAATATAATACCTAAATGTAAAGAAGGACCAAGGAAATTGCTGGGCAATTAGCATGACTTCTGTTCTTGGTAAACTCTTGCAATCTGTTGTCATGGATCAATTATAAAAAGCATCTTGAAGGTTAAAATTCAGTTAAAAATTGTCATTATGGCTTTAGAAATGTTTGTTCTTGTCTCACATAATTTTTTGTATGGTATTTGCTTGTCCAGATGAGGTTACCATTGTTGATGTTGTGTACCTCAACTCCAAGAAGGATTTAGGCCCCTCACAGTAGGCTAATTACAGATGTACAACTTTTCTGTAAATTTCTATGTTTTGACCATTTATAAATCTACATTTTTTAAAAAGTTCTGAAGAACAGAAAATCATGGATTTAAAAATAAACTATTTCCATGGCTATAAAAATGAAATTATTCCACGAGTCACTGCTAAAAAAATAAAACTCTGTAACTATAACAGGATTATTAAGATAGTTGTAGAAGTTTTTCAGAAATTCAACTGCAATCATATGTTAGATGGTTCCACACAGCTTACTTCTGATGTTACATATCAAATAATATTGAACCACTTTACAAAATACTTCTTTAGCTATTTCCAGTTTCCTTTGTGGTTTTGAGTAGATATTTGATCTTATCATTCATTAAAAAGTACTCAAGTACCCTCTTCTTTATTGCAAGCCTCCCCCCCCCCTCTTTCAATCAAAACTTTTTTTCATTTTTGATAATGCAATTTTCCATCCCCTACAAACACCAACCCACACATACACAAAATCTCAAAATTAAAGACAGAAAAATTTGTGGATCATTTTTTTTTTAATTTAATTCAACTCTGAAATTATCAAGAATTGATCATATGCACTAAGAGAAAACAGCATTGCCAGGTCAGTAATATAATATATAGCAATTATCACTAGTAGTATTAGCCAGTGTAGCTTAAAAATTTAGGCTCTAGATCTGCTTTTTATTATTTTTTACTACCAATAAAAACACATCATGAACAGTTTGTAAAATTTATAGCTGTAAATAATGTAATGCAAAATTCATACCCTGAAGACGAAAAGTGGAAGACTTTCGAAACGTCATCCTCTACATCTGAGCTGCATAACTTACGTATAAAGTAATTAGTATACTCACCAATATATTCCTACAAATGTTTCTCTAATACAAATAGTAATAGGCAGTTGCTGCCCATTTCACAGTCAATTACAACTACAAATTACATTAACATTGCCACTAGGCATCTCTGGTTAGTAGCCCAAATATAGGAATAGGTAGTCCTTTTTACACAGTCTGACGCAGAAATACGGTAAATGTCAAATAATATTAATAGATATTTTGTCTAAAAGTTAAAGACTAAATGCCTCTATTGTCTACATTTAATGTTAAAACCAAGATCATTGATTAATTACGTAGATCACAAACCTTTATAGTACCATCTGCATAGGTTAAGTTTGTCTTCATCTTTCATTTTTCGAAGATCCATAATTCTAGCCCAGTGGTAATAGCGTTAATATTAGTGTGGTACTAAGCCTACGTTAAATTTAATATGGGTTGTACTTCGTACTTTCAAAGTAATATCACAGTATCAGGATAAACAATCAGTGACAATACACTACTTCTCACTCCTTGGTAAGAAAAGCGCCACCTAAATATTTTTGTATTCTGATTAGCTGTTCTTAATATGTATTATTATTTAGCAAAAAATGCGGACAACAAGGAACCATTAGGTCTTTCAAGGCGCACCAATTTTGGAGGGGAAAAAAGTAAACTCGAGTAAGGCGTCTGCCTCCACTAGTATCGAAAACAGCTACTTTCATAAGTTTATCTCCCTATAAGAAAAATAAAACTACTCGTAAGATGAGGAATGCGCATTTTTGCAAAATTGAAAATTAAAGTTTCGGCAATCGACATTTTAGAATAAGTATATAAATTCTGATACCTGCAAGGGTTAATAAAATGTTCAATTTCTGCTCCTTTGAAACCATTTGGAGACAATTTTTCACTCAAAGATTGTTAGTTTCTTGTTAAGCACAAAGTTACATAATGAGTTGTCTATGATGTGTCAACCGCGGGTATCGAACCTCGATTTTTGGCGTTACAAGTCAACTGACTTACTGCTGAGCCACCGTAGAGGAGGAGCAGCTTACAATGATATCAACTTCCGACCAGAGCAAGCTGTGTACTTAGAATAAAACTTAAAATAAGTCTGGTAATCCTACGTTCCTACTTATAGATATTAGATAGCTTCGAACGAAATTCAACAAACAAACAAAATCAAGATTAGAATTCATTGTTGCATCATTTTGCTTATCCGCGCTGTTAACAATATTTTAATATTATTACTTTTATGTAAGTATGACGAAACTGAAAATCAAGTAATGTAGAAAAATTACATTTACAAAGTCATTTTTTTTCGTCTCATATACTTTTAATTTGTCATTTGCTGATAAGCATCCATTTTTCTGCTGGTTATAAGTGTTCTTTCACTTTATGTACATAACCTTGTATGAATAAAGCTTTATAATTTTTCAGAAATTTAAACTTGTTGAAGGTTAAGATGCGATCAATAACGGAAATTTAGGTGCAAAGTTAATTACATTTAGATAAAACCCGAATGGATATATTTTGAGCACTTAAATTAATTGTTATTAGTTTCTAGTCTCAATATTTCATTTCAATTAAAGTCAGCATTTTTGACAAAAGATGTCACTAGCTGAGTTAGTAAAGGAAGGCCATGAGGTTGATTTTTGTAAAACGGTTGTGCGAAGGTCACGATAGGACGAGACGCTGGCACAGCTTCTTTTTGAATCAGAAATCTCTTTTTGTCAGAGACTTTAATATGGTGAGAATAAAATATTCGAACAATCAAAGCTATATTTGAGATACGGTTTAGTTATGTTTGTATATAAATTATGATACTGCACTACAATGTGCAGAAAATTTAACTCTATTTTTAGTTTTACTAATATAGTAATAGTGAATAATACTAATACTTGATGGATGATAAAGGAGAGCTCATTTCTGATAATTAACAGATGCTAGGATTACTATCTTCTACTTTTTCTTCAGTTCTTTATATTAGATATGTAAACAGTGTTCCCCATCCTGAACAATTGCTAGAATGAATCTTGATCAGACAAGGTGATCACACTAATTATGAGCTTCTTTCTTAAGAAAAAAATGTAACATTCAAAGAATGATGAGGCTTCTGAACCAGGTAATACTCACCTAAGGATTTTGAATGACTGGATAATTAAGCCACTTGCTACTATTTTTTGTAAGTCCTTGAATAGTGGACAGGTGCCTGATGATTGGAAGTTGGCTAATGTTACTCTTCTTTTCAAGAGAGGTGATAAAAAAAAATTTCAGGTAATTATTGACCTTTCCTCAGTGGAGTGAAAAAATGTAAAGTCTGAGAAAATATGCTTTACAAAGTTATTTAACAAAGTTTGAAATTTTGTTGGACAGTCAACATGATTTAACTAGAGGAAAATCTTGTTTTACTAATATTTTGATTTTGACATTCTTTTAAGAGGATGGTGCTTGTATAGATGATGGTAAACTTTGGTGTATCTGTATTTTTAGAAAGCATTTAACAAAATGTCACATGAAAGACTTCTAAAATTCTCTCTTGAGGGGTGGGTGATTATTTAGCTTGCTGGTGCAAAAAATGTATAGATTGAAGAAAGTGATGTTTTTTATAAATGGAGTTCAGTCAAAGTGGACTAATGTCATAAGTGGGGTACTTCAGGATTCAATGTTAAAATTCAATGAAATAGATGAAGGAATGGTCAATAAGTTGCTTAAATTTGCTGATGATTCTGAGGTTTTGTTACTAGGACTTAAATTACATAGTGAGTTGGGAAAATAATTGACAGATGGTTTTTAATTATAATATGGAGCAAATTAATATATGTTTGTTACCATGATTTGAATACTAATTTTGATGGTAATAACCTCAATATATCAATGTTTTGGGACAACAAGGGACCTATTGATCTATCTTGGCTGTCCTATCCCCTATGTGCTCTAAAAGAAAGATCTTGTTAATCAGTCTCATAAGCTGTCCAAGCAGTGTACTGTTGTTAATGGTAGGATAGAAAGGAACTAAGGTTGTATTAACACAGAAATATGAAGTATACATTCAAAGAGTTTATCATTTCATTATATAGGTCACTGTTTAGGCCTCATTTGGAGTATTGTGGTTAGTCTTAAGTTTCTTAGCCTAAGAAGAACATTGAATTGTTGGAAAGGGTTCAAAGAAGGGCTATTAGGATGATATCTGAGATGGTAAGGATGTCACAAGGACGGGTTAAGATCTCTGAATTTGAGACATTTTAGATTTTTAAATGAATGTATTAATGTATAATCTTTTTTCATTCTTAATGGTGAGAATGGTAGGTCAAGGGGACAAAAATATAAATCCTGACAGGAAAGCGGTCATCTTCTGCTAAGACAATTTTAGTTTTCTAATAGGGTGGTTTATTTTTGGAATGGGATATCTTCAGATGTGGTGGATACAGTAAACTTAAGAGAAGGCTAGATAAATATTTAAATGGCTTGAGGGTTTAATTATTATTATAATGTTTTTTTTTTAAGTTTAGCTTAGTAGGTCAAACAGTTTTATTGGACCAACAGGCCTCTTGTTGTCCTTACATGTTATGACTTTCAGAGAAGAACTGACACTGTAACTTCTATAACACTAACTAGTACTGTGATCAGTGTATTGTTGTAGTTACTTTCAATATATATCTGGATTTTACATGTATATACTTATTGAAAATGGAGATTTACAGTATCTGTGGCATTAATTTTTAATGCTGTATTACTCACTTTGCCAGTCTTGCTGGTATATGATGTTATTAGTAGGGCTATATAAAGAAAGCTTTGAAGTTAACATAACAGAACTAATCTTGTTTTGAATGTTCCCACTTTTGTAACTGCTACTCCCCACTGATATATAAAATGTAGTTGCCAGTGAGGTGCATTTTTAATATGCATATGTATTTTGGTTAGTGATTAGAATCACAGTGTGTGTATCTATCTATCTATCTAGATAAGCAAACATCCACAAACAGTACTCTAAACGTGAGTAATATTTCCTTTAAATCTACTGAAGAGAAGTCATCATGGAGCAGCCATAAATACTTGCATATTACTTGTGTGCATGAGCCAGATGCAGTGATCACCTAAGTCAAGATTTGTATTAAGTATAGAGTTTCTGACCATAACTTCATACACAAGTGATAGAATGTTTGGAAATATTGTCTATATTTTTTAACTACTCTTAAAAACAATGTTGCAGTCATTGACTGAGGTGGCTAAATGGAAGAAAAAATGAGGTTACAAAAGTCCATTTTGCCAATCAAGTTCATTATAACTGCATATACCACATTAGGCTCATTGTCTTCAGTTTATAAATTTAACTGAAAAATAATTTTGTCTAATGTCTGCATTTGGGCTTCTATAGTTCTTCATCATCATCATCAATTTACAGCTAGAAATACCCTAGAGTTTAATGCCATCTGAAAACTACTAATTTACAAAATATCATTAAATTGAATATAAATGAGAAAAAGTATATGCCCAAGCACTTATGCCTGAGAAAATCCATGTAACAAGGGTCCAGTTTAACTGGACTCCATGTATAAAAACTTTTTTCTCTTATCTAATTATCTTACAGTCCATTTTATTAGTTTATTCCCAACCCTCATAAATGTGATTTTCTGAGCTTTTGTGCAGAATTTTATCAAAAGTATTTAGAAAATCTAATTACACTAAGTCTGCATCCAGATAAGACATAGCATTCTCAGAAAAGTTAACAGATACTAAAGAAAGATATCCGTTTAGTGAATCCATGATGATCTTTTATGATTCAATTTATCAGGCTCTCTGTTCCCACTAAAGAAGTAAGACTAATTAGTTTATAATTTCCAAGGAAACAATTTAAGAACAAACTGAAAATGATTATGCTTAAGCTATGTCTAATGAAATAGTAATGATTCCACAATTTTAAATTTTCTAAATAAAGTGAAGGAAATAAGAAGTCAACTTTACAAGTAATACCACTAAATAAATCAAAAGTGTTTCTTCAATAAGTTGTATTAAAGTTAACATACCAATTAGCAAAGTGTTTTATTATTATTATTATTATTGGTGTTCAGTGAAAGTTTTGGAATCTCAAATGCATTTCGATTACAAGTGAATTTTGGTAAGCAACGCTTGATCTTAAAACATGGGAGACTTTTGGTAAGCACTACTTGTTTTTAAAACACAGGAAAATTTTGTAAAGCAATACTTGGTCTTAAAACAGGTGAATTTTTGTAACAATACTTGATTGTAAAACATTTTGTTTCTTTCCAAATTGGATATTCTAATACAGGGTATGGTGTTTACCTCAAAGTTCAAGATGCTCAAAAATCACAAAACAGCTTTACATTTTCAGGCTACTGAAGCAAAGAGAGCAAAGCTAACTGATGAGGAAAGACAAACGCACATATCTCCACTTAAGTCAGCTGGCTGGGCTTTGACTGAAGGTAGAGATGCAATTTACAAAGAGTTTATGTTTAAAAATTTTAATCAGGTAAGTGTAGCTGTGTTGAACAAAATCAAGTTAATTTTCAAATGTACAAGACAAGAAAAACGAGTGACATGCTGAGAAAGCATGTTAGGCTTAGGTTTACATACTGGATTAAATGGATATTTTAAGTTTTATTCAAATATCTTTTTAGCAGTGTATATTTAAACAAGTGTATTCCAAACATTCACTTGGCAGTCACATGATTAATAACTTAAGTGTTCATAACTAGTACAGACTTATAATATTTCTATAAAATGCTTTTTATTTGAACAGATTATTGTGCCTGGGTACATAAACTGATTTGAATAATTACTTAAATCATGTTATTAATTAATTTTGGTCTGAGAAGAATTAATGCAAATTTACTAATTTGTTTTGTAATTAAGCACAAAGCTACACAATGGGCTATCTGTGCTCTGCCCACCAAGGGTATTGAAACCCGGATTCTAGCGTTGTAAGTCCGCAGACATACCGATGTGCCACGGGGGGATTAACTACTTTAGTAGATGTTTATTAGAGAGTAGAAAAATTGAAAGACGGGACTTTCGTTTCTTAGCTTTACAGACAGTGTATCAGTAATCAACATTGGTGGCAGGCCTCATTAGTGTCCATAAGTTTTCTTATGGTGTTAAACATACACACCTTCCCATCTGTCCTAAACATGTTAATACAGCAAATGGCACAGCAATTAATGCACCATATTTTCTTATTTTAGTTTATTCCTTTAAAAGTACATAGAAAACAATAAAAATGACTTGGAACTTTACAAGTTCCATATAAAACTTTGTTTTATATTTTTTTAAGTAATATTCTCCTTAAAATTTGTCAGGTGGCTTTGATTCAGACTTGACATAGCTTATCCTAGTATAAAAATTAATTAATGACTTAACTACCTCACCATCTATTGAACTTTTTTATAGTTAGTTTTCGACAGTTTTTTTTATCTCGTATGTATGAGAAAAATGGCACGCTTTTTGATGATGCTATCAAATAATTTTTACTAAATTTATTCCAAGTAATATTTCAATGGAATATGGTATGAAACTCATAATAACTGGATATGATATCTCAGAATAATAAGGAATGAACTAAATATTAACCTATTAAAGGTGTTGTAGGTGCAAAAAATATTTAATATTAATGTATACATAATTTACTGATGTTATGAAAGGGCAAGTCATACATTCTCATACAATCAGTAGAATTGTTGAATGGTGAAAGTCATGTGCTATTGACCATGTATTTGGTATATATCATAAAAACAACAAGGGATTATTTGGTGTTTCAAGGCTGTGCCTACACACCCATCCTACAAAACATGGTATAAACTAGACCCATCCTTTATCATTGATTCCTCTCTAAAGTTTTGTAAGGTCATTCACAGACTTTACTGTTAAAGTTATAATTATGTCCTATGAATGATATTAATGTAAATATAAAAAGCAAAGGCTCAAGCACTGACTCAAACGCACATCACTAGTAATAAAATTCCAGTTTGACTGGACTTCATTGATAACTGTATATTCTCTCTTGCCGAGTCACTCTGCAATCCAATAACTAGTCTCTCTCAAACTCTCACCATTATAATTTTCTTAGCTAATTTCTGTGTGGCACCTTATCAAAAGCCTTTTGAAAAGTCTTAAGTACACCAAGCCCACACCAGCAATGGTATTTTAGACTTAGTTTAATAGAGGACAAGTTCATATGGAAATAGTGACTCCTTGAAACTTAGATTTTACTGAAGTGAAAATGTAGTAATATGTGGCCTGGAACTGGCTCTTACCTTAGTTTTACAACACACACTGTAAAAGTGTAATAGTTCATGATATTAGCTTTTGAACATCCCATTTAAAGAGGGTGATCTGAAGTTACAAGTAGCTTTGGATTGCCAAATCTTAAGTTCTAGTTCTAATCATGGGTAAATTGCAAAAATAAAATATAGTAGGAAACAGTTTACATTGAAATATTTTGTTACTTGAGGTATTCATGAGAAGTGTACATCAATTTACTAAACTATTCATGTATTAGTTTTCTAACAGAAGATTTATACTTAAAGTGTCTAAGTATGTTTTTCAAGGGTTAGTTCATAAAGGAGCTTGTAGCTTTGTGTTTTACAAGAAATGTAGACATTTATTTATTTATTTGCAACTCTTGTAGGCATTTGGTTTTATGACCAGAGTAGCAATGCAAGCAGAGAAGATGGACCATCATCCTGAGTGGTTTAACGTTTACAATAAAGTTCAAATCACACTGAGTTCACATGATGTGAATGGACTCTCGGATCGTGATGTGCGACTGGCTAACTTTATTGAAAAGACTGCCTCTTCTGTATCAGACAAGTGACAGGCTTAGAGCTTTTCTATGACTGCTGTATGGACATTGGACATTAACATTCCTTGTACTGTGTTATACTAACGTAGAATACTTAAGTTGTATACTTTAAAACGTACTCAAATAAAAGTAGAAATGAGACAAAGCAGCTGAGGTTATTGTTCATTTTGAAATTAATCTGCTGTGTTCGAGGCAATAAAATATTTTGTTCTAAGCTGTAATGTTTAGGTTTATTCAATTTCTTTTCCATTTTGAAAATAATATTTTAAAACCAGCAACTAACATTATGTGAAGCTAACAAATATTGCAATAAGCTTACATCAGTTGTTTCTTAAGCCTTTTTATTATTCTTGAATTTCACATTTTCTGTATTTTGAATACATCTTACAGGACATAAGAAATTCTTTCTACTTTGAATTATGGAATAATTTGTATATTTGTTTACTGTTACTGTACTAGGTAATTGTGTGAATGGGTTTTGTTGCAGTTACGAGAGACCAAAAGTTCAAAAGACCTAATGAAATAAAAGTTTTGTCATTGTACTTAAATGTTCTGAATAAATCTTGCTAGTTCTGAAATGGTGTTTTTGTATAGTTATTTGATATTTACTAATATATATACATATATGTGTGTGTGTATTTTTATTTTTTACATTGTTCTGTATAACTGTTTGAAATACTGTACATTGTCTGCAAGAAATAAAGTTTTTGATTTTTTTTAAATAATTATTTAGATTTATGCATGTTAGAGCACTAAATGAAAGTTTTGAAGCCAGGGGGACTATTCAATAAGTAAATAAAATAGTAATTAGGTAGTTGTTCAGCTGAGTTGCATTTACACAAGGGAAAAAAGTATAGATGTTAACACCTGGGTTGTTTTATTTCTGCTTATATCAGAGAATTACATTAAACATTAGTACAGTAGCTTTAGTACTAAAGAGTTTTGGGAAATATGTATTTGTGACATTACTTTGAACACTGTAATAATACAAATGAGGTAAACTTGGCTCAGTGGTTAGCATGCTGGAATGTGGATCTGCAGGGTACATTGTCTATGAATTACATTAAACATTAGTACAGTAAGTAGCTTTAGTACTAAAGAGTTTTGGGAAATATGTATTTGTGACATTACTTTGAACACTGTAATAATACAAATGAGGCAAACTTGGCCCAGTGGTTAGCATGCTGGAATGTGGATCTGCAGGGTACATCGTCTATGAATTACATTAAACATTAGTACAGTAGCTTTAGTACTAAAAAGTTTTGGGAAATATGTATTTGTGACATTACTTTGTACACTGTAATAATACAAATGAGGCAAACTTGGCTCAGTGGCTAGCATGCTGGAATGTGGATCTGCAGGGTACATCGTCTATGAATTACATTAAACATTAGTACAGTAGCTTTAGTACTAAAGAGTTTTGGGAAATATGTATTTGTGACATTACTTTGAACACTGTAATTATACAAATGAGGCAAACTTGGCCCAGTGGTTAGCATGCTGGAATGTGGATCTGCAGGGTACATCGTCTACTTTCCATTACTCTAAATTAAAAAATTGTACCCTATACTTTGGAACCATGGGTGTTTTCATAGGTGCCTAACCAGGAGAGTAGAATGGGCACATGCTATTATGAATATTTTTAATGGAAAACTTTCTTGCCTTTTTCTATTGCCAGTTGTTTTTTTTTATAAATTCCCCACTTTTAAGAACGTTTAGGTGC